TTTCATAACTTTTGCCGGATTCTGAGATGTGGGCCCCGCAGGCGAAATTTTAATTAATTTCGGGATCTTTTCTTAAAAATATAGTATTTTCTTATAGAATTGATTCCTATAATATTTAGTGATTGTATCGAATTATTTTGACTAGATTCGAGCCAGACGGAGTTGGATAATCGTGAAAAAGGCCTTATAGTGGATTAAATTGGAGCAAGACGAGGTAAGTCTCTTGTCTATTTTTATGAGGGGGAAATTACCTCATAGGTGATTAAAATTAAATAATTATTGCTAATTGTGGGGGGCTACGTACGCACGAGGTGACGAGAGTCCGTGCGTAGCTACTATTAATGCTAAAGTCCGGGTAGTTTAAGACTCAAAGCATGAATTACTTGTGTGAATTGTATTCTTTATTAATTAAAATAATTTATGTATATATTGTGAATTGTCATAAAAAGTAGAAAAATATGAAATTTTCATATGCTTAATTTTTTTGTTTAAATTAATTAATTGTTAAAAGAAATTATTCTCCTCCCAAATTTTATCTTATAATAAATATATTCTCCTTCCGGAGGCACATAAGAAAATGTCCTCCTTTCTTGTGGAGCGGGCCGAACGCCTCGGCAGGATAGATGCATCTATGGATCGCGCCGCACGTCCCTCGGCAGTGTACACGACACTTTGAATCGGGCCGTACGTCCTCGGCAGAAATCGTGCTTAATAATAATAATTACACGATACTTTAATAATTTATTTCAGCTTGTGAAGCTAATTAATAAATTGGAAAATCCTTGGAATTTAATGAATTATTATTCTTGCTTGTTTAGGAATTAATTGTTACTCCTGTAAATGAGATTTAATTGATAAATTAGAATTTATTTGAATTGAAGGAATTTAATTAATATATTGAGAATTGTTACCTTTGAAGGAATCTAATTATTTCTGCTGATTAAATAAATTATTGTAAATTCTATAAATCATGCTGATTTAAATATCCTAGTTTTATTTCAGTTATTATTATTGACCCATAGTGAGT